CTTTCACATCCGCGGTGAGACCCTCAAGTGTGGGTTGATCCTGTGTCATTGTTAGCGAAAGAGAAAAAACACAATTTATAATCCCTATCGACTAACAGGATGTGGTGGACAAAATTTCTCTCACACTCAAGCTTAGTATCAAATTCTTACTCGTTCTTACCAATGCAGCAGGTGGTGATCGGCGCGTTGGTGTTGGCCTCAAACGACCGATGAAGATTGGATGAAGCGATAACCAGGAATCAGTAGAACCGGAACCTGTACTTATTGGTAGAAAAAGTAAAAGTGTAGCTTGGCAAAGGCTCCTCAACTCACAATATCAGTGGCACAATTTAGCAAAAAGCAATGCAAGTTGAATAATTGCTCAAACTTCTAACTAGTGCTGGCAGTCGACTAGCAAGAGAGAAAAACAATCTAAGCCCAGATACTGAATTAAATGAGTCGATGCGGATGGAAGATGATAGCTCTAAGTAGCTAGATATAAGTGAGGTATAAACGGCAGTGTAGGGTAGCCAAGGGCAGAAAATGTTCAGCAAATACCACGTATCGGATCAAAGTAAAGTTTCTGGACAGATATTCCAAAAGGTGGTAACCGGCTGTAACTTTTTTTTCTTTCCTTTTCTTCTCTGTTTTTTTGTACTTTTTCCTCTCTTTTTTCTGTAGCTTTTTTTTCTCTCACCTTTTTTCCTTTTTCTCCTTTTTTTTCTGATTACTATCAAAAGTCACGTACACAGATGTAACACTAACAGTTACTACAAAGGAATAGTCGTGGAACTTTGTGCAAATAGATAAAACAAAGAACAACCCGTGTGAGGATGCTCCCTGTTTATTGAATGATGATGATGCCTACTTTACAGACGTGACCAGAGAGAATATAAGAACGATGTAGGAGGCAAAGAAAAAGTAAACAAGGAACGTGCGGTGATGTGATGGCACAGTAGATCGATGACTTGCGCGGTGCACGGCGGCAGATAGATTAGGGAAAGTAGACAAAAACAGATTGATCTAGTAGATGATTTTCTCCCAAATTAATCTAAACCAGCACTAATTCTAGGATGAATGCAACCAAATATTCAACAAAGCAAATACTAGATGCAAATTGCTAAAGGCTAAAAAGATAGGTGCAGCGGATGAACTAATCTATTTTTTGGCTTTTTTGTGGGTTGTAGGACTGAAAACAATCTAATCTTATAAAACTGTAAATCTCTCACCGATTAACCTGAAAACTGATACCACTTGATGTGAACTGGGGCCCGATCTTTCGATGAGAGGGAGATAACTACGATTTTGGGTGGGACTTGACCCTCACGATCCAGCTACCAACCGTACAGGGAGAACCGTACACGACTGATATCCACGGCAATCGCTGAACCAACTCCATGGCGTTATCAACCGAGCCAACGGCGCGATCGACCTATCCACGAAGGATTTTCCTGCAAGCAAATCGAAGAACATGCAAGAAAATAATAGCCAAGCAATCTCAAAATTGCGAATATGCTAGATGGGATTAATCTCACAAGATGGGGTTCCGATAGATGTCTTGACGGTCGCACTAGCCGCTACGAGCAAAGACAAAATAAAAGTAGCAATATAGCTAAACTTCTCTAAACAAAAACCCCAGTCTAAACCCTAATTTAACTAGCTATCTATTAAGAGGAGCGGCCGCCTTGTGTCCTGGTTTACGGAACCCAGGACGTACGGAGTCCAACTTCTGCATGCCTCAGCCGGAATCGATGTTTCCTTCGGTTGACAAGATGTGTGGCCCCAACGTGATGTACATGGGCATCGTAGCATGCCAGGCTGGCTCCTCCTTGCACCTTTCTCACGCATGCATGTACAGGAGCAGTCCCTTGGCTGCATGTGCATGGGTGCACTTGTATGGCCCGTGTAAACATCAAGTGCAGAATCTCTCATCTTGATATTTATTTTACAAATGCCTTCAATAATCCTACGAAAGAAATAATTTGGTGTAGTATTTTTGTCCCTGGTAATAAAATACAATATCATATAATGATCAATAGAAATTACCTGAAAAATGTGTCGTGTAATATTTGTAGACGTATCTATGCCCACATCATCCTCCCTTTCTTGAAAACAAAGCCGTCATCGGCTTTCATTTATCTGAAACACATCATGGAGCAACGCAAAAATAGATGCAGCGTATATTGGCCGTTCCGAAGGCATTAGCTCATGAGGATGAAATAAATTTGTTATAGCACCATTAGGAATATCATGAAAAGTTTGATCCCACACAAAGTCTATGTATGAATTATGGGGATGCAAACTAACTATATGGGTACAATGTATATCCGGATCACAAGTTGGAACACTAAACGGAAACATTTTAGAATTGATAGCAAGCATAGTGTGCATAGTACGATCCGTTGATTTAGCTTTCCCATCATTTACTATTTCATCAGGAGTCATAGGAAGCAAGTTGATGATTTTTCCTTCGAACACAAGAGTATATGAATTTGTTCTACCATGATGAGTAACACTATTATCATATTGCCAAGGTCGACCTAACAATAAAGAACAAGCTTGCATAGGTACAACATCACAGTCAACATAATCATGATATGAACCAAGTGTAAATTGTACTCGCACACGACGTGTTACCTTCAACTTACCACAGTCGTTGAACCATTGGATGTAATATGGATGGGGATGTCTCATAGTGGTGAGGGAAAGCTTCTCTACCATCTCCATACTCGCCAAATTATTGCAGTTTCCACCATCAATAATCACACGAATGGAATGCCCTTTGACAACAAACTTAGTTTGAAAAAGATTATGGCGTTGAGGCATCTCAGTATGCCCCACCTGGGCACTAAGTACTCGCATGGTTACAAGACATGGGTACTGATCGGCCATCTCAGCATTAATATGTATCTCCTCTGTGTCATGCTCCTTAATGTCACCTGCATTATTAGTGGCAAGCATAGCGCGTGTATCTTCATCCAAATCACTAGCAGAGGAGTACTCACCGTCTTCCCGCACAATGAATGTTCGTTTATTTGGGCAGTCCTTCATCAAGTGCCCGCCACCTTTGCATATATGACACTTCATGTCCCTTGTGCGTCCAGACGAAGTGGTGGGTGCTAGAGAAATTGCTTTTGAAGTCTCGGATGATTGTGGAGCTGATTTTGAACTTGATGGGTGTGCACCATTGTTCAAGATAGGTGGTGTTGACTCAGTAGTGGACGGAACTGTAGGAGAGGGTGCCCATGATGAGCGGCGACCTGCAGAAAAATTACCTCGTCCCTTGTTGTGTCGTCCCTGTACTTTCCTTTCAGCTTTACAAGCAAAATGAAACAAACGAGTAATAGAATTGTACTCCTTATAGTTCAATATATCCTGAATATCACAATTCAAACCACCTAAAAATCTAGCCATCATAGCATCTTCGATTTCAACTAATCCACATCGCACTAAGCCAATTTGCAATTCTTGATAATAATCCTCTACAAAACTACTAACTTGTTTTAAACGTTGCAATTCATTTAGCTTATCACCACCGTCGTCTTCTTCTTCCTCCTCGCCGTCGTCTTCGAGAGGTACGCAACGCAGGCGCGCGCGTGATCGATCGATGGTAAGATGGTATTACTATGGTGCAACATTTAATTTGCACGCACGCACGCACGCACGGCGTACGATGCGTGTTCGCCGCGTTCGCGGCGTGCGATGTGACGGTATTTTTTCGATGCATCATTCATGACCTGTCTTTTGTTTCAGTACACCAGTAGTTCTTTTTTTTTTGCGAGGAGCAGTAGTTCTTTATTAATAATTAATTTCCTATGCTATGCTTGAGACGCCGGCCATCAGCGAAGGGAGTAGCTAGCTAGCTCGATGGACATATTGGACCCGCGCCGGCCGATTAGCTGCCTTGTTAATATGATGGATGGACATATATCATTAACGCATAGTTTATATTTGATTAGCAATACACTACACGCATAATGTAACTTTGTCCATCAATTTGTGCTGATCGATGGATCGACAAGTGACACGGTAGCTGCACTAATTAATGTACTCTGCCCCGATTTGGAAAATGCATGCACTAACCCTGCTACTCCTTAGTTGTGTGTGTGCGCGCGCGTTCGTTTTGGTCCTCCTCGATCGATTGCCTACCGCAATCTCTTTTGTGCACGGCTAGCAGGAAAGCATTTGACAGAACTGGAAAGTTGGGACAAGGATCACTTCACTTGGTCTGTGTTTTACTTTTAGTACGGGGCAGTGTCAGTTTGCTCACAGCTAGCTAGCGCTAGACACGCCAACTGCTTAATCGACCGAGATCGCACATCAGCACTAATTAATGTACTATGCTACTGCTACTCTGTGTCCCTGTCCATTTGGAAAGTCACACCTACTCCTGTGAATATAGAGGGTGCTTGGATACAAGGGACTATTTTTAGTCTGACTAAAAATAGTCTCTTTTAGAGGCTAAAGTTCCAAGCACCCTTGACTAAAGAGAGGCTAGGACTAGTCTTGAGGCTAAAATCTTTTAGTCATGGGAAACCTACTAAAATATGTATTAGCTCTCTCTCTCCTCATTTAATTCCTCTTCTTAGTTCTGAATTGGAGGGTTTGGAGGATAATAAATGCTCAATAACTAGATTTTAGTCTCTTTAGTATTTGGATCCAAGCATGGGTGAGACTAGCAAGTTTTAGTCCCACTACTTTTAGTCATGGGACTAAAACGTATCCAAGCATGCTCATAGCCTCTTCAGGTGAGAGCACAACACGTTAGTGCTAATTAACTGGGATGCTATTTTTTTTTGCTGTTGAGAACAACTGAGGTAACGTACGTCTCTTCCCATCGATGCATGCATGCAGTATATGGGAAGGAGTTCCTTACAAACTACTCCCTCTTTTCAACTGTGGGAATAGTTTTCCTTTTTGCACTGATTAGTAAGTTCCTGCTTAATTGTTTTTCGATAGTAATTAATTAAATAAGTTATTGCAGGGACGTGAGTGCTGAGAAGGTGGTGAACTCGCGAGTGATGGGCTGGATTTCCCTGAACGCAATGTTCGGGTTAGCATCCATCGCACTTAAACTCCTAATCTACTCTTACAACTAGTAGCGTGTGTATTTTATGCAGCCAGCAGTTCTATCTTTAGAAATGCATGTGTGATTTGCCCGTTTGCAAACTTCTGCCAAACCTCAGTTATAATTAATGAAACAGCAAATCTGAAGAAAAAAACATGATTTTTCAAGGAAAGCTTATAATCTTACCGAGTAGAAGAAAAGCAGCATGATCCTAAAAAAAAAGCAGTATATATAGTTGGAATAGAGATGTGCAGATGCAGATTAATTCCGTAATACAATATATATTATGCATAAACTAATTCTTAGTTATTTTCGATTTTACATTATATTATTCCTCTCACGCAAGTATATGGTTGTATGTAGAGTACTGCTGGCTCCGGGGCTGTACTACTGCGGCCTGCGTGCCACCGGCGCCGCCTACGCCGTCAACTTCCTCAACCTCATCCCCGTCGCCACCTTCATCATCGCTGCCGCGCTCCGGGTCGAGCAGATCTCCCTCGCCGCCTGGCCCAGTGGGATGAAGCTCCTCGGAGCGGTGGTGGGCGTCGTCGGCACCATGGTCGCCAGCCTCTGCAAGGGCACCCCTCTGCTGCTGCCGCACCTCGGGATGTCCGCCCACGCCAACCCCCACCTCGCCGCGCCCCACGGCGACGGCGACATGTTTGTCGGCACGCTGTTCCTGTGCGGGAGCTGCGTCAGCTACGCGCTCTGGTTCGTCGTGCAGGCTAAGGTCGCCAAGGTGTTCCCGTACCGGTACTCGGCCACGGCGCTCACGTGCCTCGTGGGCTGCCTGCAGTCCACCCTGCCCGTCTCCGTGGCGATCATCCTCGCCCCCGCCGGCGACCTATATGGATGGGCGCCCATGTGGACGCTGCGCTGGGACCTGCAGCTGGCCACGGTGCTCTACTCCGGCGTGTTCAACACGGGCGTCACGTTCGTGCTCGTGTCCTGGGCGGTGGAGCGCCGGGGGCCGGTGTACCCGGCCATGTTCAACTCCCTGTCGCTCGTCGCCACCACCGCCGTCGACGCCGTCGTGTTCGGCACCGACGCCTACCTCGGTGGCGTGCTGGGGGCGGCGCTCGTCGTCATCGGACTCTGCGCGTTCCTGTGTGGCAAAAGCAAGGAGCTCGCGGCTGCCAAGGTGGTCAATGCCGAGCAGTAGCTGCGGCATGCATGAGACGCCGACGTGGCGATTTATCCAACCTAGGTACAGATGGGATTACTCAACCGTAGTAGTAACCTGAGATCATATCGCACACTGTTATGTGCTAGTTCGTCACGATCGGTATGATTCAGACACAAGCACAGACAGAAATAATCACAGACAGACGTTCAGCACATATGTATAGAGCATTCACAGAGGGTTGTTTTCATCCTTATATGCCTACTGAATCCAGTGGCACCATGTGCGCAGTATGTGCCAACGGAAAGAAGAATGCACAAGTAGTAGTATATGCATACATGCTTCATTATAACTTGTTAACGATCATATTCATAGGATAGTAAAAAAAATGGAGTGTCTATTTAGTAGTCGACGCGCCTCAGTCAAACTGTGTGACAAATAGAGAGATGACATGCGTTTTTCCTTTTTACCTACGGACGAAATTAATTGTACCATTCAAAGGTAGTACAGTACCATTTTCTTACTAGAGGTAGAGGGTGGGTCCTTTGTGGACCGAGAGCACATGCTCTCACACAAGAACTCAAAGGAAAGAGCAACTTGCCCCTGACCTTTTCATGAAGGAACCCAACAAAGAAACTAGATTACAATTGGGTCTGGAAACTACCCCCAACGCAAAACCAATTGCACCGACGCCGAAGATGAACCACTTGGTTCAATGCAATCATCATTGCCTTCGAAGCAGATGCAAAGCTCGTTGGAAAAGGACACCATGGACTCTGGATCGAAGTGATACTACCTTCCTTTTGACAATCTTGGCCGGGATGAAGACCGGAGCGCTAGCTTCAATGCAAG